GTTATCTGTGCACTGTCAGTTAGTGCAGGAAGCAGCAGAAATAAGAATAAAATTTTAAAAATCCCAGGTTCTACACAGATCTTTTTAAACAGACACATCACAACTTCATGGAACAGAGGTTCAATTACTCATACAACATGTGATTCCATGCAAATGCAAATAAATAGCTCTGAACACCTACCGGGACAGTTGAAATCCAGAAGATTATCACCCAGATTGTCCACATAGTCAATGACAGTCTGTTTTCTTCATACCTTGTGCATCAGAGGTCACCAGGATGTTTTTATACTCTCCAGTGTGGCTCCTAGCTCTTTTCACTTTGTCCTTTTCCCTCCTTGCTTTTTTTCCTTCCCAGCTTTGACCATCCTTAGCCAATGTTTCTCTCCAGCTGCTGAGCTCTAGAGAGCATCAATAGTGAAAGGACCCCCCCTCCCGTCCACCCTGCAATCTCTCCTCCTCCTCCTCTGCAAAAGTGTCCTGTCCCAAGAATTACAGCACCTCTCTTGAGCATGTTCCTACTGTCATCTGCCTCCTTTCCTGGCTATTATTCACTGTTATCGATGGGTGTCGCTGGGGAATGATCATTCCTCATGTCCTTCCATGACAAGGGATGGAGCAGGACTCCTGTGCAAGATGTCAGCCCCACAATGGCAGGGGTAATCAATCAAGGGGAAATACAGCCCTGGAATAAATGCTCTGCTGAGAAACCGAGTTGGAGGAATGTGACTCAGGCTGCCTGCACTGCTTCTGCTCTCGACAGCTCTGCATATCAGCAAGCACACGGCCCAGAGAGCCAGGAATCAGCAGGCTGGCAGGTTCTGCTGCAGGTGAGTTGGCTGCCCACAGGTCCAACCAAGCTCAGGTGAGCACAGCTGCTGGAGCCGAAGACAACCTCAAGTCTGGGGTAGGCACCAGAGAAAGGGTAAACAGGGTATCGGCTCTTCCCACCCCTTCCAAAGAAGACTCCAAATGCTCCCTGGACTTTACTCTCTTATCCAACATCCAGAGAAACAGCCAGTCTGCCTTTTAACCCAATGCTATAGGTTGCGAGTTGTCATTGCATTTGGATCCCTCAGGTACCTTGTTGTTGGGATGTAGAGTCCAGCCGTCCTGGGTTCCCCAAAGACAGTTCCTCAGCAGTCCCATCCCCTGGCAGCAGAGCACTCTTTGTTTTCCAGGTTTTGCTTCTGTGGCAAAACTATTGTGAATAGGCTGTATGCTGACCTGGGTGTGAGCTCTCAGCTGCCAAAGTAGGTGCTCCAAACTCTTGCTTGCCAAGTTCACTTGTAGCACAATATGGAATGTGGCTTCAAAAAGGAGCCAAAGTTTTCACTGTGTACCAGTGCTCTTTCTCAAAGCACAGCAGTCCTCACCTTGTCTCAAAACATCTTTTACCACCTATTCCAGTTTACCATCACCCATTGCCCCAGACAGGTCAAACTTGATGAAGGGCTGCCCAAAATGCAGATGTGCTCCAGATCTACCAGTACAGTCAATGACCGTGACTGTGAAACATATGGCTCTTTACCTGTGCACTGAAAATCCAGCCATTGGATTAAGAAAGTCATCCACTGTGCAGCACAATGAAGGAATTTGGGTTTCCTAGCAAGTGCTGCCCTTTCCATGCCCGCTCTGACCCCAGTAACTCCACTTCATGTCTATATGTGCTCCCAAGGAACGTTGAGTTGCAATGCTCCCCATTGCACACACCATCCTCATCTCTCCCCACACCCCCAGAGCAGGAATCAGGCAAGTGGCAGCATTTGCTCTAACCCCACGCTACCTCTGACCTGCCCAGCTCCCACACTCACACACAATCCTTTCCCTCCGAAAGGGCAAATGCTTTCGTCTTCCTTGCCCCTGTCCACACTAAACTTGTAGTGACTTTCATTTCTTGAGGAGCTCTGCTTTCCCACAGAGTTTGGTTGAAATTGGTCAAAGGGTTAAACAAACTGTTAAAAGGAGGTCTGAGAGGCAGCCAGACAATGTCATTACAGTTGTCTGAAGAAACCACACTGGCAGTGCTGTATCGTCTCAGTGGGGTGCCAAGTCCTTCTCTTTCTTCCTTTGGCTGAAGGAATATTTTATTATTCCATTCATATTGTAACAGCTTCCCTTCAAAGCCAGCAGTCTTGCCTGTGTTTGTGTAATCGAGGGAGCTTTGCTCCTGAATGTACTATGGAATGTGGGGCATTTTCTGAAATAGGCAATGGGTGCCCAGGAGTTTGGAGACATGATGTTGGATTCAAACACCAATGTTTTGTGACCCTCTCATTATATTCATGTGCAGGCTGAGCATTTGAAAGAAGTTAGATGCAAAATAAAACCTGGAAAATTCTCACCTATGCAAACCACTGCTTGACTTGCAGCAGATGCCAATGCTGGACACACAGTGAGGGGTGGGAAACCTGAGAACAGCAGCAGACCACAAAGAATTATTACCAAGAATTCACATATCCCAAAATGAGGTATTTGCTTAGTTAAACAATGAAGCATTGCACTCGTCTGTGTGCATTTATACCTACTCAGTATATCCAATTTAAATTTGTCACAGCTGGAATTTCTTTCAAGTCTCTTATGTAAACCAGAAAAGAAACATCAGAATTTATTCATGCAGTATTGAAGGACTTTTAATTTTAACTTTAGGAATAAATAAATTACTTAGCTTTGTACTACTCTGATTGTAGGATTGTTTAGTTATCAAACACTAACCAACTTTGATTGTAAATATTTATTTATTAAAACTTAAAAATTCCATTAGTGCTTCAGTCAAATAACTATTTTTTATCCTTCCTTTGCTAAATAATTAAATTGCTTGCAATGCCTCTATTACAGCTTGATTATCAGGCCATACATTTTTCATCTGACATTTGGAATATAGAGATAAAATTGAGGTGAGAATCACCTATTTAAATCCTGGTTCACAATCTTTAATTATACCAGCCTTCCCAAGGAAATATGCAGGTTTGTTGACTGATAACCTCCTATTTTCACCTACTTTTCCCACACATTTGCTACCTCTCAGGAAACCTTACAGAGTGCTTTTCCAGAGGTGCATCATATTCAGATCCTCTGATGTGAAAGCAGAGATGAATTTTGGTTTACACTCAAGATCACTGTCCGAACAGACAGATGTACATGCAAATTGTGTTCCTGTGGGAGGAGAAATTTGTTCACATGCCATTTGCTGTACTGTGTTCCCACGGCCTTTTTCTTGCAAACAGGAAGAAACCTCCATCAAATCCACAGAACTAAACAAGTTCAGTGTGGGAAACCGTACGTTTAAGTTCTGGAGCTGGCAATTCTGTTTTCAGTGCCAGCCTGTGCCACACAAAAAAGCCGTAGCGTTTTGCAGACATTTCCCCTTGCCCGCAGGAGCTGACCTCTGCGAGGACTCTCTAGCAGATGCATTCTGGAAGAGAGAATTCCAACTATCCTTCCAGCTTGTGGAGAATAAACTTCCTTAATCTGTTTACTCAGCTGAGGTGAATGGATAATTTGGAAAGGCAGTAGCTTGCTTTCTTCCCCTGATGGCCAAATCCCCAAATGGCCAAAGCTCTGCCCAAGGCAGATAGCTGCACACATGGAGCTGCAAGGAAGAAGTGAGTGCACACAGGAAAGGAGGTTTGGCAGGCAGAAGGTGCTTTAGGTATCTCTCTGAGGGCTTACATGCCTTGAGAGTGCTGTAGCACTCTGGGGCACATACAGAGGTGAGGTGAGGATGAGTTCCAACAGAAACCATGCTGTGAAACAGTGAAACAGTGAGCTGCTGGACTTCACACAAAGGCAGTGTCAACACTGATCCTGAATTTTCTCCCAAACACAGCTTTAATTCTGTCGTCCTTGAGCATCTCTCCCCAGCCTTGCCAAGGGTGTAGGTGTCATATTTCCTAATTAACAGCAATTACATCCTACTGAGTATGGGAACTATGATCTGGGAGCTGAATTCTATGATCTGAAGTTTTTCTTCCTTTGTTTTCTATTTAAATTGAACATTGCACTACTTTTGGTCACATTTTACCTCTATGTTAAAAAACTGAAAGTGAATAATTTTATTTTTAGAATATATAAAGAAAAAAAACATTCTGGAAATATTTCTACCTTTCTGTACTAAGCCTATATTTAAGACATCATGAGAAAAGTGTCAGGGCCATGAATACTGTTTGTTCCAAATGCACATTCACACCCAAGAAAAATGTAAAACACTCAATGGCTGGAGGATATGGGGCAGCCAGTAGTCTTGAATTTGTTTTTTATGTTGCCTGATGCAGGATATATTAGTGCAGAAGCCAGTGAGGGACTGGCAGAGATTGCCCAGAGAAGCTGTGGATGCCCCGTCCCTAGAACTGTTCAAGGCCGGGTTGGTAGGGGCTTGGAGGAACTTGGTCTGGTGGAAGGTGTCCCTGCCCATGGTGGGGGGCGGGAACAAGATGATCTTTAAGGTCCCTTCCAATCCAAACCATTCTGTGATTGTATGAGTCTTTCTTTTTGGCTCCTCCATTATTTTGGGAGTTTAGACAGTATATGGGTTTGGGACAATTAGAAGGGATGCCAAGATATCGTAAGCAAAACAGCAAAATAGCAACATTCAGCATTACTTCAGCATTTCTCAGTCTCATCGATCACCTGTCTGAAGGAAAAAAAAAAATAAGGAAGAAAACTTTTCTTTCCCCGTGCCCATGCAGGCAAAAGTAAAGTAATTCATATGTGGTATGAAAAACACCACATTAAAAAAGGTTTGTCAGGACCTATTTTTCAAGGCATGGCCCTTTAATACCGAAAGTGAGAACACAAAAGGGGGGGGGGAGAAAGAGGGTTTAAAAGGGAAAAAAAAAAAAAAAAAAAAAAAAAAAAAAAAAAAGTTGTTTTTCCTCAGTTTTTGTCCTTTCGCCATCACAGGCAGCTGAACTGCAGCTGAACTGCAGCTGAGGGGACAGCAGCCGACAGTGCCGCGGCCCAGCGCGGCCGCCCCGTTGCCGAGCGACCGCCGCGGGGCCGCGGTGAGGGCAGAGCCGGGCCGGGCTGAGCCGGGACTGCCGGGGGGGCTGTGGGGGACGAGCGGGCTGAGCCGGGGCTCCCTCGGGCCGGGGGCTGAAGGGCTGTGTGTACAGGACGGGCTGTGTGTACAGGACGGGCTGTGTGTACAGCGATGCTTCTGCGAGCCTCACGCGGTTGTAATGGAGTGACACCGCGTCCCTCGGTGAGGTGAGGTGTGCGAGCAGCTCCGAGACACGAAAGGGATTAGAAAGCCCAAGAACTGTCAGGAGGAGGGCGATATCCCGGTCTGAGGGTGTTTGGGGTGAGTTTAGCCATGGATCCCCATGGTTTCACATTTCTGTTGGTGGTTTCATACAAGCACACAAAAGTCTCGTTAAGGGTAGGCGCAGCAATCCTGGAAAATTGAAGAATATGTCTGTTAGACATTCCAGGACCTTAAGGCTTTGTCCTCTCTTAACCCTTTGAAGAACATTTAGTGCGTTGTTGAAGTTGGTGAGCCATGATGTAAATTACGCCAGGAATCCTTTGAGAATATGTCTGCCAGCACCTTTCCAAACCCTGCATTCCCGATGGGGAATACTGACCAAGAGAAGGAGGGTGGCAGGTGTATTTATTAAAGTTGAACAACACAAATGGAAAGAATTTTTTTTAGCATGCTTTTGTCCAAGTTTGGTTGGTCTCACTACCTCAGAAGAAATTTACTGTTGTGCACAACAATGCAGCTCCTCTTACACATTTTCTGTTGCAAGTGGAAAATAAGTGCTTGAAGCTATTGAGTGGAAAATATTATCGAGGCCAGGGTGCCAGTAGCACGTTATTTTAAGCTTCTTGCTTATTTATTATTTAATACTGCAAAACCCATAAATCAAACCAGCACTTTATGAGCTTGAAGCGACTCTCAACTTGTGCCTGGAAGATCTAAAGCAGACTAGAAAACCAGACAAATACCAGAGATGAGACCATAAAATGTAATGGGGGAGGTGGACTAATGATTTAGCTTTGGAACGGTTGAGTGCTGCCTGCTTGAGGGCTGAAATACCCAGCATGGCTTTTGAATTCAGTACTTATTCCAAAAGTATCTTCTCTTTTTCTCCACACAGTTCTCCAGTTCATGCAGAGCCAAGGGCTGTGTGCTATATTTACAAAGATAAATTCTGGTGGATGGATTGTGTCTGGTGTCTTTATTATATCATGTTTGCACTTGCTGTTAGAGAAGTTTATGTTCTGATAACTGCATACTTAACACAGGATCTGTAAGGCCCATGGCTTTCTGGGTTTACAGTTATCTTCACTAAACAAATAACCCAGACGATGCTATCCAAACAAAAGATTCAAATGCCAGTTTTCTTATCCCTCATATTAATATTTAAAAATTTAAATTTAATCTGCAAGTTAACAACCCAAACACCCAGGAGAGATTGGAAGAACATCTTGGCAGAAGTCGGTTCGGATAGTGGAATTATCAGAAGTACCTCGTCTCCTTGTCTGTGTTGGGGGACATGGAGGGAGAGAGAGATGTTTTACATAGACCTGAAAGGAAAATGTCCCCAGTAAGCCTTAGAACAGATGAACATGCTTGAAGTGCTAGGCCTTGCAGTGAGAGCATGGTTTCATGGAATCTCTCTGTCCTTGTACTTGGCACACACAGATTAATCCTCTTCAGCAGGGAAAAAAAGTAACTCCCTCTCCTAAATGTTTTTAGGCAGTTTCAGGCAGCAGATGTTACCAGGGCAAGGGAAGACATTGTGATCATTATGTTGTCTTCATTTGATCCCAGGCACTGAGGATTTTTAGTGCCATTGAGACCCCGTTTCTGCCCTGACATGGATGAAGTTCAGGCGGCCTCCACGGACATCACTGTTGCTAGGAAGACCTTCAGGAAAATACCAAGTGTCCTTTTGGGCAGCCTCGTGGAGGAACCTAAAAAAAGACGTGCTGTCCCCAATCACCTGCTGGAATCAAGTAAGTTTCTGCTCTCTGACTGTTCCCCAACCTTGGAGCAATCCTAAGAAGAGGCACTTGGCTGTTATTTTTTTTTTTGCAACTCACAGGCAAAACTCCCATCCTGTTGCTTAAGTTGCAGCTTCTAGTGAACCCACACTATAGGAGAGGTAGTCAGGGAAGAAATAGTGGCTGTACTGATTCTGGCTGACCCTAAAGTTTTGGGATGGCTTGTTGAAGCCATGATGCCAAGAGGTAAACTGGTGGGGCTCTGCTGGGGTTTTTAAAAATTCATGCCTAGTTAACAGGAGAAATAATCTGTCTCATTTTTTTCTCTGTAATATATTGGGTATAGCATAAATAGACTTAATCCATATAAGTAGCAATCATCATGTGTATTTCACCTGGTCTCCTTTTCTCCGTGTTTTATGATCTACAGAGATTTATTCAGCATTTCAGAGGAGCAAGGTTGTACGGGCTGAGCCTGCTGTGCTACACTATGGAGGGTATGAAGTTGGAAAACATCACCAACAGACACTGGTATGTGTCAGAGCAGGGATCCTCCTGGGTCTCATAAAAGGACAGCAGAATCTGAGCTGACTGCTTGTGGTCATGAGGCCTTTGCTCTGTGGAGTGCTCTAAAAAGCAGCATTTAGAATGTGTGGCCCTGTGGTAACAAAACAGACGAGTACCAGCCACGCCATGTGCAGCACCCTCCTTTACATTCTGTTTTAATTTCTGTTTCCCGTGTGTGCAAGCAGTGTGATATGTGACTTGCACATCATGAATGAAGAGATTTGTGTTTTAGCTCCATAAGAAGCTTGTTTTCAAAACGCCCTTGGCCTGTCACTGCATCTGCAAGCACGTTCACTGTTGGGAAAGTTTTGAAAGTACCTTTGGCCTTCTGCCAAGAACAATTTATTCTGAGGAAGGAAACTCGGTGCATAGGTTTGATTACCTTTCCTTGGGAATGGTTTGGGTATTTCTTCTCTCTGTTTTCCCTTTTCTGGCTTCTTTATTTATATGGTAAATGTGTTGAGGCAGAGGTTGGGTAGTTATGGGGGACCGGGTTCTCCAGATATAATGAAAATAAACAAGATGTAGGAGGTTTTACAGGCTAAACTGTCACTATCCAAAGGTTTGTTGCTTTGTAATCCAAAACAAAAACATGGAGTATTACATGATTCCTGTTGTTTCAGACCTCTCTAAAAATGGTCAGTAGATTGCTTCATTTTTTGTTCCTCTTGCCCATAAGCAAAACATGATCAGAATTCAATTCAACAGTAGCATCTCTTTTAGCAAGACTGTTGTTCCTTGGTTAAGAATTGTGACTTGTTTCCAAAGAATAAAAATGCAGGACGTAAGGTTTGCATAATTTTCTTTTAAATTCAGAGCATATTCAGAATTATTTCTATTAAAGTAAAAATTATTACTTCTTTGCTATGGAGAGTTTTACAAAAAGTACAGTTCTCAATTGACCTCTTATATTTAAAGTGCTTTGTGGTTTTGTTTTTCTTTTGTTCTACAGAAGCTGACAAATATTTCTGCCAATGCAATAAACCTTCACATAATACCACCCCAGACAATGTATTTTCAGATCAAATACAGCAAAGCAGTAAGTGTCAGAAAGCTTTCACACTGCCCTTTGCATGCAGCACAGGTTTTGTGTCATATAAGCAGCTTTTACATGCCTTTTATCTTGTTTTGGTCCATTTCTAGCACCGGCTTGTCCCTGGTTTGTCATATGTGGTGACGGTTGATTTTTGTCCTGATGAGTGGCGATATTACTATGACTGCATCCGGATTCACTGCAAGGTGAGGATTTATCACAAAATATAGTTAAAGTTGTGATGGAATGAAACAACTATTCGGACACAATGACAATGACAAAGGTATAGTTAATATTCTAGAGTCACATGGATTTATTCCCAGTAAGTCTTGATTGGAGTATTTAGTTTTAAGCATCTAAAATTTTCCTCTGTAAACATCCCAGAGCTGTGGGTAAGATTATATTACTTATTCTGCTATTCTTTGCCAGTAGACCAGTTTTTGTGCCACACTGATGTAATGCCTTAGCTGAGCAGGCTCAGAGGAGCTCGGGAGAGTTGCATAAAATATGAAAACAGATGTATACTGAGGAGAAACACAGTGATAATCTTGAAGATCTTTTATGCCCACTTACTGGCCAACTACTAGAGAAACTTCTTATTTCCATAACAAGCTAGAGAAACTTTTTATTTCCATAACAAGCTGAGAAACTTACTACTGTTCAGCCAGGAGAAAAGAAGGTTACATGGAGACCTCATAGCAACCTTCCAGTATCTGAAGGGGGCCTTCAGGGGAGCTGGAGGGGGACTGTTCATCAGGAACTGTAGTGGTAGGACAACGAGTAATGGGTACAAACTGAGAGAGGGACAATTTAGGTTAGATATTAGGGAGAAGTTCATTACTTTGAGGATGGTGTGGCCCTGGCATGGGTTGCCCAGAGAGGTTGTGGATGCCCCAACCCTGGCAGTGTTCAAGGCCAGGTTGGATAAGGCCTTGAGCAACCTGGTCTAGTGAGGGGTGTCCCTGCCCATGGCAGGAGGTTGGGACTAGATGATCTTTAAGGTCCTTTCAACCCTTAACGTTCTATGGTTCTATGATTTATTCCTTGTAAGACATAAATATTTGCATCCGTTTGTTTGTTTGTTTGCTTGCAGGGAGATGATAACTTGGTTGTTCCCATGCATGCTTATCCTGCTATGAATGTTGTAGAATTTCCAACGTTCATAAATCTGTCTGATGTATCAGTTGGTCAGAGGTGAGTTAAGGACAGACGTTTGTCCACATTTCATGAGGCATGCCCAAACCCAGAAAAATCTCATTTTCCTCTATTTGTACAACTTAATGTCTTAGAAGCTTTAAGGAAGTAATCTGCCATCTGGACTTCAAAATAATTCTGTACATGAACTGTTTCAGGTGCACATTCTCAGTAAAGTAAATGCTGTGAGAAGTTAACATGTAAAGATGGAACCGGATTTTCATTTAGTCTAAAGCAGTGCTGACTCACCTCATTCATCATATGGTGAAGCAGTGTGGCTGCTGTTTGTAATCTTTACACTCCCAAGTGCTGTGTCTTTTTAGCATTATTAGGTCGTAAGTGAATGGATCTTCCTTTCAAGATAAAGGGTTCTGGAAATGAAGGTTTGGTTGGTGTATGTTCTGGAAATGAATGTGTGGTAGGTGTTAAGTGCTAGCAAATAGCGTACCTTAGTCCAGACACTGATCAGTCATTAGATTTGCTTCTTATGTTTAAAATATTTAAAGTGATCTGATGTGAAGCTCTGGATGGCATAGCCTTCATCTCACTTTGCCTGTTGCATGGATGTTACACTGACTGTTCTCACTAAGTAATCGGTAGTAGCTGTTGATAGGAACTGGGAAGGGGAAAAGGAGAAGGCAGATCCTGTTAATTAGGGTTTAGTTCTGCAGGATATTGGTTATATTAGTTGTATTCATGGTTGTTAGTGTAAAGATTTGAGTGAATTATAGGAACTGAAGGTCTTAGCTAGGTTTTGTAGCCTGTGAGTTGAAAGTATCTCATGAATTCTACTGAAATATGAATTGGCAAGGCACATACAAGGAAAATTCTGCCCACTGAGTCCAGTATTGCAAATGAATATTTGTGTCTTTTGGTTTTTTTTAATCCCTTTTAATTTGTTAAACTCTAGTGAATCCATCAGGAGTTGTTGTTACAGCTTTCTCACAGGACTGAACACAACTCCTGACTTTTTGGATGCCTTTAGGCATGATGTGATTCTGGTTATTTGCTCCATTTTAGTGCTGAAATATACAGAATTTTCATATTCCCAGAATATAGAGAAGATATTAGAAAGAGTATAAAATATAATTTTAAATAATGGGAATTTTTTTTTTTTAACATAGCAGGGATGCATGCTCGGAGATAATCCTGAGGGAATTCGGAAGAGTTCTTGAAAAGAAAACTCATAGTTTCAAACCTGAATTTTCTACCAGTATTTTTCATCATTAAGCTATTAAAAACGTCCCTAAAAATGAAAACTCTCTGAGGTACTTGGTACTATACAGAACCCAAGGGTCTCTGGGCTCAATCCATAGCCGGTGAGGTCAATGGAAAAACTGCCTATTAATTCCATAACTGTAGAATAAAAATCTATATTCTATCACCCATTATTCTCCTTAGGTACAGAAGGTCCATCAGGCAACAGGTGGCATAATTGTCTTGGTTTTAAGGCACTTTGGTTACTGTTCAAGCTCCACTATACACTGAAACAAATTGCCTGCCCCATCTGCTGTTACAACTTCTTCATGAACAGGTCATATTAAGGCAGAGAAAAAAGGGCTTTGCTATCATTGCTTATTTCCTTAGGCATTTCAAAATGTGCTTTCCAAAAGAACATTGTGTATAACATGCATTCTTTGCTAATCAACAGGATAGGATTTCAGTCAGGCAGTTAATAAAAAGCAGGGGTAAGCCTGGGTAAATGGATCTTGATTTGCAGGATGAGAGATCGTGTTACACCAATGCTTTTGTGTTTCAGTTTGATCTGTGAAAATACATGCATACAAAGACAAAGCAGCTTGAAAAGATGTGTGCTAATACTCTTCTTACAACTTGCATGAGACATAAAGGGCTTTTATGAAAATCAGGCCACAGCATCATTATTTCTACAGTGGTTAAAGCCCAGTCATGTGTTTGAGTTTTCAACACTTTTGAAGACTGCACAGTCTTTTCTCATCATCTTTCACAGGGAGGGCCATGGGAAAAGGCTGATTTGTGGTTCTGTGCTCATTGTTGCTCCAGTCTGGATTGTTTGTACTTGCTAGATATTAGAGTTTGTAAGAATTTGAGGATACACAGAAATAAATTCCAAAAAGTAGGTTTTTAAAATTTTCTGTAATCAGATTCTGTATGGGTAGGAGAAAGTAAGTCAAGATGCAAAATGTTCAGTTTTCAGATCAAGATTTAGCTTTCGTTTCCTCAGGAAGTGAAAGATTTGAAATATTTTGCTATTTTGGAACAGTGAGGAATTATAATTTTCACATTAATAAGTAACCCACTCCTCTGAACACAGATAATTTAGTGCATGTTGTGTATAACATTATTTCCCAGCTTGTAATTGTAGTTTCATTAATGTCATTCTTCTTTTCTCTCTTTTCAGTAAGGAGTATGTTATCCCGTTGCAGTGCAGCTGTCCAATAGATTTTGAATTCCACATTGATATTATTCAGCCTCACAGAGCCTTCACTGTCCAGCCAACATTTGGTAGACTGAATTTCTTTGAAATTCTAAATGCTAAATCTGTATTTATTAAGTGCAGTTACTTGTGACAGTGTATTCAGTGCTGTACAGAAAAAAACTTTGCCTCAGGGTTTTTCCAGGTAAATGCAGCCACTTCTATGCAGCTTCATGGCAAAGAGCCATCAGTGGCTGGTAATAATTTCTTTTGGTAATGCCCAGCTACAGACCTCTGACAAAATATGGGATGTTCCAAACAGTCCATCTGGCCTTTGTCTTCCCAGAAGAGTATCCCAGAAAAAAATATCAACCCAGTAAAACTTAAGTGAGAAATTTTGGTAACCTGAAACTAGGAGGTACTGAAGGCCATCTGAAAAGTACAAAAATGTTTCAGCTCCTTCTCAAGCCACTGAGCTCAAAGATCAGTAATCAGAGAATCAGATAATCATTTAGGTTGGAAAAGACCTTTAAGGTAAACCTAACACTACCAATGGAGTTCACCTTCAAGGATGAAATTCTCTACCAAATTGTATACACATACAGGAAAAACCCAAACCCAACCCAATGAAACTAACTGGGGTTTACAGGTTGCAGAAAGACGGGCAACAGTCACTTGAAAGAGATGAGAAATTAGTCTTTCTGATGAGCAGAATAAGCTCCTTGTTGCAGAAATGTTGAGGAGTCCCTGTATCCTGGGATTGCACTGAATGTTTAGGGGTATGAATAGTGGTTTAAGTGGTTGAGAAAATAATGCAAAAGGTAGTAAGGAAATAAGGTCAAGTAGAGATACGTGATGCATCAAATCCAGGTGAGTCCTCCCCCCACTTGGAAGAGCACAGAGGAATATGTTTATAAGGCTTTGCTCGTGAAAGCAGAAAGTGATGAAGACAACACTAGCATATGCAAGTGAAGAATGTCCACATGTAAACAGGCAATCATTTTCACAGCAGTATGAAACATTACAGCCCTCCTGTCAAATCTTTCTGCTATTGCAAAATATCTTCTATTATCTGGCAATAGACATAGTTCTTGAAAGATACTGAGACCTGAAATATTTTCCATGCCTACTGCCAACCACTCACAGATTAAATTGTTTAAAAAAAAAGGTAGCCCAGAATCAATTTCAGCATATGTAACTGGGCTCATGTTATATGGACTCTTACTGTTTTTCTCCTCTCATCACAGGAATCATTCCAGGCAATGAAAAAGTGAAAGTAACTGTGAAATATTCCCCACTTGAGTATGGAACAGCACAAATGGCAATGCAGTTACGGATTTCAGAGTTTCGCTCGAAACCCTATGTGTGTGTATTCACAGGAACATCAACACCACATCTGGGTCTGATGTATGTGTGGCTGACTGATCTTTGAGCTCCTTTGCCCAGTTCCAAAAAATACCTGTATAATAGGATGTCATATCATTTTGCTGTAATAGTTTTAAGCATTTGTATCTTTGGAGACTTAAAATGCACTCATGTAATTTGACTGTTAATACTTATACCTGCTCTGCTACATCATTTACTCAGAAGTGGAACTACCAAAACAAATATAACAAGAAGTTACGTGTTCTTAAAGAAGTATTGAGCATCCTCAGCTTCTGTTGTTCCTCCTCTTTATTATTTTTATTGTTGAGGCCTTGCAAATGCAGGGAATTGTGAGCAATGAGGCCTTTTGGGCTATACTTAATCTTTTTGTGAACACTGAACATTAAAAAGTTTGGTTCCGTTCATTATTTGGGAGAGAAATTTCCAGTTTCTTTCTATACCTACAGGGGGTGTAAATGCATGTACTAGACCTATGTGCTGTTTCCAGAGTACTTGTGAGAGCAATATCTGTTCTTTTGACATCTAGAAAAGAACATTTTGACAAACAACAAAGTCGTCCAGCAAAAAAAGCTGGGTCTGCAGGAAAATTCATGGTGTGGAGAAGAGACCAAGTCAGCCAACCACGATCGAAGCCTATTCAAAAGGTAAAGGTGTGAAAAGACAATAATTACAAGTACTTTTCTGGGCTGGAAATCTTTCATGTTTCTATTTCTTCCTATTAATTTATATCTCATAGGAAATTGAATACCAGAACCTCAGATTCCCCACAGACTTGTCAAATCCGTATGCTGTAGCTACTGTTTTGATACAGGAACCAGGCAAATTGAAGATTAAGGACTTAAAAGAAGGTAAAGTAATTAAGCAGCATAAACTTGGTCTTAGCATTATTTGTAGTTTTCTGATGAGGAGCTTTGCTTCAGAATTGCTGACGTGATGTGACTGTAGTTTCTGTGAGAAATCTCACCTTAGCTTTATGTATTAGTGGGTTCAGTTACCATGATGGATAGATTTCACAATTAAAAATCCGATCTAGTTTGAGGTGTGATATGGCTTTTTGATATTCCTGCAGTCCTTTCCCAAGGCAGAGAAGGGGTAAAAACCAGACAGATGAAGGAAGCTGTATTTCAATTAAAAGTCAAACAAAATGTTGAGGAAGAGGAAGCAAATCATCTAAAGTGGTAAGTGTTAGTTAACCACATTAACAAGACTGGGATTTACTTAACTAAGGCTTCTCTGAATGATGTATGCAGTATCCACTAGTGCATAATGCTGCCATTTCTTGTCCCAAGAAGGCTTGTTTTACAGCTAAGTTACTGTTGTTTCATTTAATTTTTTTCTCTTCTGCCTAAGAGCTGTCTCAGTAGTAATCCATAGTAGTAGTATCCAATGAGGTCTTTGATTGTGTTATGGTTCCATTCAGAAAGAAACCTGCTGAAAACCTTGTTCACCCAACCTTTTTCTTAGGCATCTCATCTTGTGCCCTTAAGGGCAAAGGAAGATTTTGTCATGGTTGTCAATAAATCAAGACTAAAATGAATAGTGGAGTGAACAGAATTACACTTAGAAGTGTTCAAAAACATGTAGATGTGGTGCTGATAGATGTAGACATGGTTTAGTGGAGGACCTGGCAGTGTTAGTTTAATGGCTTGACTCAGTGATCTCAGAGGTCTTTTCCAGGCTTATTGATTCTGTAATCCTATATACATCAAATGGTGTAAAGCAAAACATAGTTGGATGTGTAAGCACACCATGGTTTTGTTTGAAATCCACAGATCTGCTCTTACACTGAATGTCATGGACACCTAGGCACCTTAGGAAGAGGAGAGTGAGTCTGTTAGCCTTTAAACAAAGCAAACTATGCATTAAGTAAAAAAATTTCTTGCCTCCACTATTAATGCAGGCAGGTTCATAAGGGAGAAGATCCAGTCTCTGAGGAATTTAAAAAAGAGATTATTGAAAGACGACGAAGGGAAGAAGAGCAATACAAGGTTAGTCTTTGATGGTTTTTTTGTAAATTTAAAACCAAAGTTATACTTTCAGATTATGCAGTGCACTAGTGAATTGTAGCAAGCTCTCTACATCTTCAATTTTTCGTCATACAATGCAAAGCTGTACTAGCTGTGCTTGTTACTGCAGTTATATCTTTATTGTGCCTGAATATCTTTATTGTGCCTGTTTCTGACGTGGTTTTATCTTGGAGGTAGACAGAGAGAAGAGTAAGCTATTCATGGAAAGGTAACTAGATCTTTGGCCAACCTAGCAGATTTGCACCCAGTCACATCACAGTGCCACATTCCAGCACAATCCTGTCAGCACTGTGGCTGCATCCAAACTTCTGTTTATTTGTAGCTCTCTGAAGAGCTGATGTCCTGAATGACTCACAGTCAAAGAGAGAGATGCAGTCAGTACTCTCACGCAGAGCCATGGGGAGATAATTCATCCAGTTGTTCTGCACCTTCACCATCTCTCTCTTTCAGTTTCTTCCAGTCACTCCAGACTGCAGGTCATCTTCCACAGAGGTGACAACAACAATAAGCAATACTTGGTGGCAGGAAATATTTTTCCATGTGGCACAGCCCTCAGAGACAGGTGGGGCTTGTCCCTCTTATCCTGCCTCCTGGATATTCAAGTAGCTTCTGACATCCCACTGACTTCCAAGGAACTGCTTGCAGGAGTAAAATTATTTACTGACAGGATAAAGGCTTGATTTATACAATGAATTAGGCACAATTAATTAATTCAAACGTTTTATCTGATAGTAAAAGGGAGGAAGTGAGTAAAAAAAAATCTAAATTGTGAGATTGTTATATCACTGAATTGATGTATATTAACTTTGTTTAGAAGCATTTATTTCCTTACCTGCTGATTCTGGCTATGCAATGCAGACCATGTTTCGCTAGGACAGGATCTGATTGAAACTCAGACCCGAAAAGACATTATTTTACTTTGTGTGACTTGCTCGAGGGTTGCAATAATCACTCTCTAAAAGGGAATTAAGTCTATGTTTTGTTAATGCACCTCCAGAACGTTTCATTGTAAGTGAGTTTCACTAATTGTAAGGGAGGAAAGAATTCGCTGGATGCTTTGTGCTAATGTGATTGTTCTTCCTGGTGACAAATTAGATCCAAAGAGGAGACCCTATCATAGAACAGGAATTTCAAAGGAATGAAGTAGAAGTTTCCTTCAAACGTGTTACCCAGCATGTTGGCCAGGTTTGTACATACATTATTATAACCTGCTATATGTTATTATCACCTACTAAGCTACCAAACAGCCATAGATGTTTGACATTGAATACTTTTCCTCCTAATGTTCCTATTTCTGTGGCAGTGCCTTATTTCCCATTTTACTTTTAGGTAGGGCAAGCATCATGCTACTTGCACAGCTCATGTTCTGATGTTCTGATCTCATATGAGAGTCAAGAGGAAATCTGCAGGCCTAACCTGAGATTTATATTGCTTGTTTCTCTCCGGAGAAGCTGTCTCATGCCTGATTGTAAGGTTAAGCTTAAATCATAAGATTTGCAACCTTTACCTGCAGGTCAGATTGACAGGAACCTTTCTGGTACTTAGATTTTTTTGCTCCTTCTCTGTGGCATCTTTCACCCTTCTTTAGTATGTGCTATCAGCCATTATTGGAGAAGGGATACTGGTTTTGCTGGGCCCCTGGTGTGAGTCCTTACAGCTACTCCAGCTTCACATCTGTGCAAGATGAAGTCTATATTTGGTAGAGACCCTGTCCATTCTCTCTGCTGTCCAACTGCCCATGTAGTGCACTTAAATCATAGTATGTATCTGCCATTTGTGTGGATACAGACCATGCAACGTTACCTCTGCATTCCCTATACCACATCTGCAAGTATTTGGTGATTACTTCCCACTAAGCCCCTTAGTGAAGGCTTCTGGTTAAATGCCAGTACTGCAAATGCTTTCACTTGACTTAAGTTCAGTATTTAGGAATAACATATGGATGCAGGCCAAGGAATGGCTTGAGCTGAAGGAAATTTCTCCCTTATCCAGTTGTAAAAGGAGTTGTCCTTTTTCTTTTCTGTTTCCTTTTAAAAAAAATGCCATGCAGCATCCAAGTGTCCAACCCACATTTGACTTGCTCCGTAATGACCCCTGGGACAACAGAAAGAGGATGTTAAGGAAATTCCAACAAGCAGCATACAAGGTAAACTGAACAAACAGAATGCAGTGTGGTGGCATGATGCCTTGGAAATAGCACAAAAGAACATGAAAACAGACACATAAGGAGTGTTCACAGCTAGCTAGGGATTTGATAGTTTGATAAATATGGCCCTACCTCAACAGGAAATAAAGATACGGAGTAAGTTTTGTATTCAGCTGGTGCTTCATATTGCAATTGAGACTAAATAAATGCAGATGAATTTTTTTTTTTAAGTAAAAAATACTTCTGCACAAAAAAGAGAAAATTTCAAAATGCATATAGAACACCGTACCCAGTTTTGGGCACCTGGTATAAGAAAGACATCAATAAGCTGGAGTGAGTTCATTGTAGAGCCACTGGGGGGTCTGGAACACTCACTCGGTAAGGAGACAATCATGAGAGGGAAAGTAGAGGCAGAGAGCAGCACCTTCCAACACCTCTGAGGAAGTTACTGATGATGGAGCATCCTGGCACTGGTGCATGATGGGAACATGGGAAACAATGGGCATAAATTCAAATAAGTGAGGTGTAGACCTGGAAGCTAAAGACTAATCAGTTAAATCACTTATTTCATTGGGTTTAAATATTAACTTGCATCTCCACCGCTGTTTCTCCAGTAAATCTCAATGTAGCAAGCAAGATGGAAATGTCCTGCTCTCCTAGTGTCCAGTTTGGATATTCTCCAATCTATTCAGAATATTGAGGTCTTGAAATGAAATGCTCTTTCCTGTAAGATAATTTGCTGTAAATGGCCCCTTCTGGTATTAAAACCTAGAGCTCTTCATTGTTATCCTGTGATACATGGGCAAATTACAGAGTGCAGGTTGCTACTTACTCTTCTTGTTCTCAGAGCCACAAATACAAATATGGCCCTGATCAACTGGCTGTTCACTCATTGTTAAATCTGTGTATGCCAATAAACAATCCGAAGGATTAGGACCTAGCCAAAAAAACAGTCTGATTAACCTGTAAAGCTAAATTAAGGTTTTAACTGTATTTGTTCTGTAATGTCATTGTAGAGTTGAGATCCATTCTACATCTCTATTTCCCATTTTCTCCCTCCTGAACAGAAAACTATATTCTAAAATAGAGATGTCTGAGTGAGCTCTGTAGAATAAATACAGTTTTAACACACACAATATATTTCTATGACTATAAATCTCAGAGTCTTCTACTTAAAATTAAATTTGAAAATCATTCTCTCAGATTTTGATTCAGGCTCGGCTGAATCGTTTATTGCTTCTGTTCCGTGGACTGACCAGTGAGGCCAGAGGTCACGAGGAAGGGTCTGTGTCTGGTAAGGATTAGAAGAACAGTTTGATATTTTGACTGTGGGCTGTGATAATTCAGGTTGTGCTGCAGTGTGCCAGGTTCATTACATATAAACATACAGACAGAGTCCTTACAAAGGAGTCTTCCAGAGAAAAAGAGAAGTGTGACAAGGTAGAATCATAAAGTGATTTGGATTGGAAGGGACCTTTAAGGGTCATCTAGTTCAATCCACCTGCAATGAGCAAGGACATCTTCAACCAGATCAGGTTGCTCAGAGCTCTGTCCAACCTGACCTTTAATGTTTCCACCACCTCTTTGGGCAACCTGTGCCAGTGTATTATCACCCTTGTTGCAGAAAAGTGTCTTCCTTATATCTAGTCTGAAACTACCTTCTTTTAGCTCCAAACCATTATCCCTTGTCCTATCGCAACAGCCCTGCTAAAAGGTAGAAACAGCTGTAGTCAAAATACATCTATTTTTCATACATATTATTTCCTAGATTTAAAAAATGTGATTGACTCTTCTTAGGCACCTTATCTACTTAATAACAGGGCAGAAGCTGTGAATTCTCCATCAATGGAAGTGTTCAAGGTCAGGATGAGGCTTCAGACAACCTGATCTAGTGATAGATGTGCTGGCCCCTGGCAGGAGGGTTGGACTAGGTGATCTTGAGAGGTCCTTTCTGTCCCAAACCCTTCTACATATAGCCCAAGGAAGAATGGAAGGGCAAACAGGACTATATGAGAAATAGGCAGATGAACAGATCAGGCAAAGCCCAAGGGTCAGAGATACAGGATAAAAAGAACTTACTGCATGTGGGATAGAAGGGGGAAAGACTCCAGAATGCGATGAAGGCAGGATGTCTGAACTCAGGCAAAATGAGGCAGTAGGAACCATGAGATACATGGCCAGTACTGGGTTCAGGTCTTTTCCTCATCTCTTTCTCATGTAAGTGCTTTTAATCAATCACTTTTCTTTATACTAAATTGCAAATGCTGGCCTGGAAAACTCACTTGTTGCTTAACAGTCATAGAAGGAAACTGGCCTTGGATGGGAGTCATAGTTGGGTATATGGGGGACAGAAAAGAATTTTTGTCTCTTATGTCCCACTCCCCCACACAATTTGACAACTGCTGAGACACATCTTTCCATATCGGGCCTTTTCCTGCTTTTGCAAATAGGCACATTTAATTCCCAGTATGCAGGAGTTGCAGGGATGCTGCAAATAGAAGATGTAATGGCATTTAGTGTAAGAGAGACCTCTGACTTATCCCTTGCTGAGCAGAAGGAGATAGAGAACCAAGCTGGAACGAGTGGGCTGTAATGTCCTCTCAGGAAAGGGTAAATTAGATCTGTCTGCTAGTCAAGGTATCATGCTTCATATCTTGTAGATGTGACATTTAAAGCCTTCAGGAAGTATTACTTTACTTTTTAATATTAAAATTACTAGACACGTCCTGTTTTAGGAAGATGTTAAATACATTTTGTGGCTTGATTCTATTTTTGAAACAGTGTATTAAGATAAATTATGAAACTTTACTATTTGTTTTCCATTAATGACAGAAACCAGGAGTTTCAGCAAATCAAAGAAGAGTGAAGAATGTAAGGGCCTTTCTTCCAGCATATCTGAAGATCTTATATTGCCTTTTGAATTCCCCTTTTGCAGTTCCCATGAACAAAATGATGATTTGGTGGGTATAGTAAGTAAAATGTTGGTCAGCACTCAAGATAGGATTTTGTCGAAGATATTGGCCTGGTACTGCCTTTATTAAAATTTCACAACATGACTGGTTCTCACAGATTAATTCAGGACTTGGTATTTATTAAGGGTACTGCTGAAAACAGTAAAAAAAAATCTTTGCATTCTATAATTCTGAGCAATACATTAATGTTCAGAGTTAGTTAACATCTATGATTTTGCAGAAGAAAAGAAAGAAAAAAATAACTGAAATCCCAAAGTCAAAGAAAGAACAGCAGAAATATCAAACTGTATAAAATAAATGTTTGCATAATTATTTCCATATGTTTCTAGTTAGCTGTGCTGATGGATTGCTGCCAATGCAAAACAAAATGCCCACCATATTCCTGGTTTTTAAATACTGTTTTCTTTCAGGCACCTGATGCTCTTGGCCTAGTTCCTGTTGGATCTGTGGATGTGACAGTCAGACATATTCTTCCTTATTATGACTTGAAGGTGAGTTAGCACAGCTCCCTCAACTGTATCGTGTTTCTCTCTTCCACCAGTCCAGTTAAATGTTTTCTTCCTGATTCAGTGGCCTCTGTGCAGCCCAGTAAAAATGCTTTGTGCGTCTGTGTGATTAGCATGCTTGTATTAAAAACATCTCACCTGTTTCCACAAGTAACAAGCTTATAGTCAGAATAGTCCCCTCTCTCCAGACAGAAAGATGAGTCACCTCAGCTGAAACTATTATATCTCAAACATCAAAGTCCTTCTGTGAATGAGGATGCTGTGAGCCCTGCACACCACACAGTTTTTTCTTTGGTTCTAGAGTTTTATAAAAGTGACATAATAAAAATGTCCTTCCTTTTAGAAACTAATGGAACTCTTCTCTTTATCTGGTATCCAGTTCTGCATGCTTAATTCCTTCATAGGAAATGCGAACATTTCCTTCTTGAAATATTTTTTTTTCCAATTTTATGAGTATAGATAAACTTTTTTTTCCTGAATTCTAAACCCATTTCTCTCCAATTTTTTAATAACAAAAGATCAAATCCCATCAAAGTAAATATAATTCCTTAGGTTCAAATCCATGCAGACTTTGGGTCAAAGTACACTTTCTTTTTATTGAGGTGATGTGACAAGTCTGGAAACTTTCTTGTAGCATCTTTTCCCCTTACTGCACATTGCTTCATCTGTCAGTGTTACACCCATTACTCACACAGCCTTTCGCGTCCCATTAAGTTCAGAATATTTGATCAAGAAACTCTTAAATCCATTATCTTTCACAGAAAAGCAAGAATGAAAATATTCTCTTATGCCCTCATGAATTATGCCTTCTCAAAGTTTTGATCATATACCATGTTCCAGAATGGCGATCCAAGTATCCTTTACCACAGAGATGTGATGTGTCCGTGATAAAGCCGGAATGTTCCGTTCCATCTGTGAGTTAACCGACAGTGATTATTGTCATCTCCTGCAGCACATCTTTTTTCTTTGCACTTAGGTTCCTCAGCATTCCAACATTATGAAGTATCAACCTTTCTGTACACACTATGCAGCCACAAGTTACAAACCTCGAGAACCTTCCCGGCCACTGAGGCAGGGAGCCCAGGTAACAAATCACCTCAAAATCACACTTTGCTGAAGTCACTCCAACCCTACAGTTCTACAATAATTTGATTAATTTTGTCTCAGCATTTTATACTGAAAAGCTTACTACATTCTGAAAACCTTTGATGTCTGTGTTTTTCAAGGATGAATTGATTCAAGTAGCTCCTTCTGCTGAGGGGCAGCTTGACCTGGTCTTCCAGAGGACAGACTTTCACAAACCATCCCCAGGAGAGGATTTTTACAAACCATACTCAGAAGAGGATTTTTACAAACCATACTCAGAAGAGGATTTTTACAAACCATACTCAGAAGAGGATTTTTACAAACCATCCCCAGAAAAAGTAGCAGAAAGAGATATCAGCCTCTTAAAACTGGTTCCTCCCCGAGCTTTAGTCTACCCTGCAGAGAGCAACCCACTTCGCATTTTTGTAAGTAGATGTTGACTTCCACAAAGAACCTAGGAAAGGAAGGAAAGTGTGTTTGTTTCATCAACAGCCTCATGTGGAATTGATAGGCAATTTTCTTACTCAGATTGGTATATAAAACTATACAGAGTGAGAGTAATCCTTCATGATGCAAACTCTGGTAGATAGGAGTCACAGAGCTCATCCCACTGAGAGAGGGAACTTTTCACTTTAGGATGGGTTTTGATCAGTTTAGGGAAGGGATGATAAGGCAAAATTGCCAGTGAAAGCAGAGAACTGGAGACCCTTCCAGTCTGACACTCCACAAATGGTGAGTGATCACAGAACTCCCTGGAACACCATGGAGCCCCTTCCTTCTTCTCCACTTGTTTCCCCATTTGGATGCCAGAGGAAAAGGCATGATCTTGGCATCTCAGTCCTTCTATAACCTCCTGCTCTTGCCCAGATAGGTAGAACAGTCTTTTCCTGCTGTTCAGCTGGGGGACTGCAGTTCTGCCTGATCCTTGGGTAAACAGAATAGTGAAGTCAAACTCTGCTCACAATGCATCCTGCTGCCTTATAGTTTCTAATAATTGTCAGAGCATCCCAAAGCACATTTCCAAATTATTAGGCACAGAGATTCAAAAAATCCCCATCACATGCTGTGCGTGGGAGGACTTTCTGTTACTTACTTATTGTGTAGATTGTGCTACTTGTCTCCAGCTGCAGAAGGTGTTTCCCACACAGTGCAGCTCAGCCTGCAGGTGCCTGAGGTGTCTCTGAGCAGGCTGAGGCAGCTGTAGAGCTCAGTGCAGTGCAGTGTGTGGGTGCAGGCAGATCTCCCAGCCAGCGTGGCACTGTGCCTGGCTTGGGCGGCTCTGTCTCTGAGCATTTCTTAGCTGCAATGGCCCAGAGCCCACTGTGCTGGTCTGGTGATCTTGGCATAACATGTATGTATAGACTTGCCCTCACTGCCTGCAGCCAGGACTCCAGTGAACTTTCTGATGAGGTCTTCTCTGCATCTCTTTCATCCCTCTGTCATGTCATAAGAGCCAGGCACAGCCTGATTCCACACTACCCAGCATTAGGCTTTATCCAGAAACAGATGCTAGTGCAGGGAAATTGATGGCAAAATGCTCACTAGCTTCCACCACAGTGAGTCCACTTTCCCTTTTTGGATTCTGAACTGTTCAGAGAAGCAGCAATGGATTTTAGAATAATTAGGCAATAGCTTTTTCTCCCAAACTTCGAGACAACAGCTAAATTGCTGTATTTTAGACAGCACAGAGAATGAATGAACCAGACAGATTATAGGATGAGGGGAAGGGATAGGAAATGAAGGATCACACCAAATAAACAGTCACAATGAGAGAAGGCTGTGAATCTGGGGACACTAATTTTAAGAAATGAATTTTCATGAATTTCATTCTTTATGGTGCTCAGAACAATTTATTAAAATAATCTCTTCATTGTTTTTAGAACCCTGCTCCAGGATTAGTTCCATTTTTACTTCCATTGCCCTATTGTGAGTCAAATATTGAATATCATCTTTGTCCTCATCCAAAATACACCTTTACCAAGGAATGCCCCAAAGGATCCAGTATTCCGATCACACAAAAGAAATTTCTGCATCACAAGGTATGGCCTTTTGGGTTTATTGTATGAGTATCTGGCTTGGGTATGTTCTTGCTGAGAACTTGCTCTAAGGAATCAAAAAGGAAGATGAAGTCATCCTAAATAGAAGACATTTTCAAATATAAATTATGCATGCAGTTAAATATGGTCATGAATATGACATGGGTCAGAATAACTAGTTCTAATAACTCTTGTTAGGCTTTATCCATGTCTCTTATTTATCCCAAAGTGTTTCTTTGCTCCTTCTGTCTTTTTTACTGTCTATTGTACTTTCACAGTGTACTAACAATGATGGGAGGATCTTTGAATATTTAGCTCTCCAGATTCAATTCTCAGCCAAGAAGTGAGATGCTCTGCCCTGCAAACCTCTCTCCCCACTGCATTATGTACTAAAGGTCTGATTACTGTAGCACTTGTCATTTCAGGAAGTGATTTCTGGAGTAATGGAATGGAGGAAATTCTCACCATTGGTGTATTCCACTTTTTCTAACATTCCCACATTGACAAATACAGCACCTAGGTAAGAAAGAATTTGAATATGCAGTGCCTCTACCCTGCACTAGTTTCTGTTGCCTGTAAGTATATTGACCAGTTACTAGTCCCACTGATGAAAGTGGGCCTATGGGTGTAATAAATTGCTGCTCAGAAATCCAAAACCAACAGGAAAAACTCCTACTGAACTCCTTGGAGGGTGGGTTAAGAAAAATATCATTAGGGGAAATGCCTAGCCTGGGAAGGAGAGTTCCAGTCTGTGCTTTCAATGACATCTCTCCTGGAAGCTTGTTGTTTCAGTCCTAGCAGACCCTAGGAGGTACAAACTCTGTCTGTCCTGCAGGAGTATGAACTGTAAAACCTTTATTGTATGGACACTTGTACCCAGTGGTAGCCAACATCTCTCAGGCTCACATTCCCTTGTATCACAGCAGTTTCTGGTGTACTCAAATTTTCCAGGAATATTTAAAAGTACCTCATCTTTATTGTAACCGTAACTACTGTGAAGCTTCAAAATATAAAAAGTTTAGTGTAGAGTAACTGCACTAATACCATTAGCATTAGCAGCTTAAACTAATACCATTTCCATCACAGGGATCCTTACAGTTTAGATATGCTTCCAAGAGATGTACCACCAGTGCTGTCTGACTTACCTGAGAGAGACAAGGAGAACGTGATTGATCAGTAAGCTTCTCCTCTATTCTGTACATGTTGTGATTGACTATGTGTTAACCACTTGTGTGGATGGGTGTAAACGTGTCTCGAGGGATCCTCAAAGGCAAAAGCACAAAGTCCCTCTTGCATAAAACAGACCTTTGTTTTGTTGGCTAAAAAATACTTTTAAAAGGATAAAGGTCAACTGTTTGTCATCTTTACTAATTTTTAGTGAGACAGATGAGGCTGAGTTTGAAATGATTCTTACTCCAGAGATGGTGAGGGCTGAATTTCCACAGATTGGTCAGGCACTCACAGAAGAAGACGAAGAGGAATCAGCAAAAGAAGAAAGGTAGGTATAATTTTAAATTAGGAGAGAGGAATAGGAAGGAATCTGAAGTCAAGCATCCCCTTCAGAATTGCATAGAAAGTCATACTGAGATGCTCTAGGGGCTCCATCACAAGTGGGATGTAGATCTGGTACTTTTGAAAAAATTTGCACTGCAAATGCAGTCTCTGGATTTTACTTCAGAAAGCAGCTGTGAATGTGACACATTGACTTGCATGTCTCTTATTTGGTAATATCAACATGATTTAACACTTGAGGCAGTGAGGTCCCTGACAAAACACTGATTGCTGTATTGACTGAAGATAATTCGCTGTAAAAATGTAGGTGTGTCATACTCAGTACTGTTCTTTACATTTTGTGACGCTCTGCTTGTCAGAACATGGGGATTTGGGACAGCTTGTGGAACTAAAGAGTGACCTTTTTCTTCCACAGTAATACAGTGCTGGATGATGCTTCTCTTGGGTAAGTAGTTTTATAACCATAAGATTCTTTCTCTGTGAAGTTTTAGATGTTTTCATAAAAAATGAAAATACTTTTCTATATTAAACGACTCTGGGTATTAATATTTACTTGTTGAAATCCTCCCTATTATTTTGGCTCTGTAAAGAGGGAAACAAAAATTTCTTAGCAAACAATGAAGTCTCAATCCTTTATGTTGTCATTGGCAGGTTCTTTGTTATTATTGGTGGGGTGGTATTTACTAGATGACAGAGGATGTACTGCTCCTCTATCACGATTTCAGCATTTTATCCTTAAGGCAAATCAGTTTTTCATGTGGCTGCTCTTGTTCTGGCAATTACAGCATGTGTTCCTTCATGGATAAAATGTAAAACTCAGTTTGTATTTACCTCTCAGATGGTTAACTTTCCTAACTGGCCAAACCAGGAGTGAGTGTTCTTTCCACAGTTTCACTGCTTTTCCAGTTCTGCATAAGTAATGGAATTGCCTCTGCATTCATTATTTAAAAAAAAGAAATTGTGTGTCTCTTTCTTTGGATTTTTCAGCATTCCTAAGTAGTTTCCCTGGTTATTATAAATACAAATGATGTTTTAAATTTCTTCCAGAGACCTGCACAACTATCCAGATGGACATTTTCAAACTCAAAACAATGAGCTTGGAGAAAGGATTCAAAAACATGTGGAGACAATGAAGCTGAAAGCTCTTAATAAAACCCTTGTTCTGGGATAAGAGTAATTTTCCAAAGTCCATGGCTTGGCACTGCTTATCCTGTTTATGTACAAGGCCTTCTAAATCCCAGCTACATTTACTTTCATTCAGTGAGGTCAGCAACGTCTTGTGCCAAGAGAACTGCCAGTAATGCCACCTCTGTCAAGGTCTCTCACTGTGCCCACTACACCAAACACAATAATTACTCCAGTGGGAAACCTCAGCCTTGTACCTGTTCATTTTGTTCTGGTATGAAGGACCAGAAAACCTCAGTACTACCACATAATTTTGGTAATTAATTTACAGCCCACTATTTTCAAATAAAATGTGAAAAGACCTCATGACCAAATTCTTCTGAATTTGTTTTTTTCAGTTATGACCTGTCCTTGAATTTTTGCAGGTAAGTTGCTACATCTCAGACTTGACTGTAAACCATACACTCGAGACTTTTAATGAAAGGGAAGACTTGAACACCATTAGTGTCCACCAAGACAATGTCCAAGCACATCTCATTAGCTGTTCAGAGGTTTCATTCAATGCACAGCTCTTGGCAAAAGGATTATGAATGAATTGCATAGCCTTGTGAGAAACCTGTAATGCTCAGGGTGTATTCCCTAGAAAAGGAGATTTCTCAGCATATCACCTTGCAGCTGTCTCCTTACTTTTTTGTGGGAAAGCTGGGCATCAGGCAAAATTGGTTTTAACCATAGGAATTGATTGCTCATTTTGAAGAGTATTCCAGCTATTTCTGCTGAAAAGCACATTCTTCTATACTAAAAGGCATCGAAATTGCAGCAATACACACTATATTCCTAGAAGCCATACTCCTTTCCAGGCATACTTAAAACCTTTAGGAAAAGAGAGTGATCAATGTAGACAAGCTGTAAAAAGCCCAGGAAGATAGAAAATAGGAAAGTAGGGTGGAAAAGCAACAGGATAGTCTGTATTATACTAGCTACATGATATCTCTGCTCCCTTTGAAGAAATAAAAAGCTGGAAAGTTTCTGCTAACTGTCTAATTGGCAAGGGATTGTTCAGAATGCAGGTCTGGATATCTGCAGATTTCTCTGACTACAAACAGTTGCTTGAACTTGTACACATGATGTTTTCTTCTGTAGGTCCTGAGGAAAGCAGTTGATCTTTTAAGAGATGAGCTAAGAGTTGAGCATGTTTCTTAACATGACCATGACAAAAACATTCTCACATTTTACAGTGAAAACAGTTCACAATTCATAGTTAAGGTAAATGAAGCATAGGTAATTCTTAGGAACTGGTATCTATGAGCTAAATGTCTAATCTAGTCTAGTAAAGATGGAATAAGTGTTCAGAAACAGCGGTGATCAACCAAAGTTAATCTCTTTTTGTTACAGTGGTGTTGTCTTTCCTTCCTATTCCAGAACAGTTTCCTGGTCATCCCAATGGAAATTATTCATGCTCCTCCATTCTCCAGTGGAAGACACCAGCCTTCAAAGAAATGAACCTCCTTTCTATTGAAGTGATCCTCCTTTCTCTGCCTTAGCTCTTTATGGGCCAGGTTTCAGTGTGTAGAGAAGTGCATTACCTTGCACTAAAATGTTCCTAGAATTCAAAGGTGCTCTTGGTAATGCACAGATCCCTGTGCATTATATCCTTCCAGGATATCTCATAATAAAAGGCTGGCTCTTCTGGAGGTAATAAGCTCTCAGAGGCAATCCAGCTGAGTCCAAGAACATGAGATTTGGCTAAATAATTTGAAGTCTTAGGTTTTCATGAGACCTCTTAAGTCAACCCCTGGTTGACAACTGAACAGATTCAGAAATGGGACATAAACCACAAGAATTAAAACCTGCAATTGGTGGTTTTTCACTGTTCGGTGTTACAGAAAATAAATCAGAATAAAAAGAAATGATGTTATGGAAAATGTGCCTCTGGTAACATTACCCAGTGGACCGGAACATTTCTGATAGTTATTTTTATCTGGATTATAATTTATAGTGTGCTGAACCAGGGCATTAATTTTGGAGAACGGTTTTATGTATAAAGGATGTGTACAGTTTTCTCTGACAGACTTGTTAACAAACAGTTGCTTACAGGGCCTTCTAAAAGGATCGTTTAGTAGGATTCAATACCAATTGTGTGAAATGTCAACATTCAACATCAGTGCTATTTAAAAGAGCATTAGTGCAAACTCTAGCCTTAGGCTATGTTTTTATAAACTGTGGAACAGTTTATAAACAGTTTATTAAGATGTCTTTTAATGAGCTTTCTTATGCCTCTACTAAAGCTGCAGATCACTTTCTTTTGAATGTGCAGATTTTCACATACAGTTTGCAAACTAAGATCAATTAATATATATATATGTAGCCAAATTTCACTACATTCTAATGTTAATTTGTCGATTACTTTATTTTGGGAATCAGAGGGCTGCATTCTTACTGATGTGAGTGGGAAGGTAAGAATGTGTAAATTGATGTGCAGAATGTGACAAGTTTATTTCCAGTCACTGCAAGTAAAATTGCTGCTGTTTCCCTTGTTTGGAAAGGATTAATTGGCTGAATGACATTGCAACTGTTTTACCAATTAAGATATATCCATCTTGCCTGAAAAAGCCTGTCCTATTAGCAAGGTTAATAAACACTGACTCACTCTTTAGCTTTTCTCCCTTCTATTACATAAATGAGCATTAACCTCTAAATCAAATAAAAGGTCCATTTTAAAAATTAAGAAAATGTTAATGTGGAAATGATCTATGAGTTTAAGTGCTCAGTAACTGGGTTGTTAATCTCACTTACTGTTTCCTGATGAGAGAAAATCCATCAGGATCTTTAAAATGTAAATTAATTGTATTTTATAAGAAGGCTGGGAGGAAAACAGCAGTGTGTTTGATGTAAAGAAATGGGTGAAATTATATTTTCAGCTCATAAGAAGAGTTCCATGAGCCCCAGACTAAAGAAATCTTGTTACCTTTGGATTTGTAATGCAAGGTTCAGTTATTCCAAGCTCTGGTTGAAGATTTTTGTCTGGGCATTTATTTGGTCTTTCTTCTGCACAGGTTTTCTTCTGTCTCTTCTCACGCTGAGTCCTTTGCCTTATGGAAACACCATGGATGCTTCTCTCCAGGTGTTTCACCATGGAGGATTTTAGCTCTTGCTGAGGCCTCTCCTGCTCTTCCAGTTCAGTTGGAAATAGCCAGCAGGTTTAGAATTTATTGCATGAGATATATGCAAATGATGTAATTTCCTTAGAAAGCTGGAGAATAGAAACTTCTGTGTGTGTGTGGATAAATTTCTTTGTAAATGTGACTGTGAAGTGCTGCTCTGCAATCTGTAAATGCATCATTTGTATGTTCCTGTAGAGACACAAACAGCTGATGTGCTGAGGGCCTCTATGACCTTTGAAAACCACAGCAGTCATCAATGTACCTAGGTTTTTCATAAAAGTTATTTTAAGGCAGAATTGGTTTAAAAATTGGTTTTTTTCCTCCTCTGTTTTCTACTTCTCCCACTGTCAGTCTATGCACAGAGTACCAACACTGGTTGCATGGAGTAAGTCCTCTTCTTCAAGCAGTTGCAGCTTGAAGACAACCTTCTCAAAATTTTTGGGGGTCTCTGGGTTTTTTAGGTTTGTTTTTCTTTCCTGAAATGTAATAATTCTTCAGAGAGGAATTCTAAGCAGTGAGTAGTGTCTACAGTTGTTTGATCTGGTGGCACAGAGTCAGATCTTCCAGCCTGAGCAACCTCTTTGGCCTCCTCTAGCTCTGCCTGCTGCCAAAGGGTGGTCAGTGGTAGCTGCTTTGGAATAGGGCCTGGAGAGCCATCAGGAGTAACAATGCTGCAGTTCCTCTCTGGGCCTTGTGGTTTGGGGTATTGTCAGTAGCAGGGTCTCTGAGTTGCTCAGAAGAGATCTGTTATTCCCAGGAATGCTATCCCATTCATACTGCTCCCACAGACTGAAGGACTTGATCCAAAGTGTCTTGTGATTCTTCATTTCTATGGACCTCTCAAGTAATGTGTCATTTCTACACTGCTGGAATTTGTTGGAAGTCTCCCATAAATACTGCAGTTCTGAGCCATCCTTTCATTGTCTATGTCCCTCTGTGTCCTCCAAGAAAACTGAATTCATCAAAACCAAAAGCAGTGCAATATCATGGCAATACTTCAAGCCCAAAAACAAGATCCAACAATAACGTGATCTGGCCAAAAAAAGCCAGACACATCTGACAGGGCTGTCTTCTGCCACCTAACACCTGCAGAAGGTAATTGGTTGTGAGGAACCTCCTAGATTATGTCTGTATGACCACAGCAGGAACTTGAAAATTAAATCAAGAAGCTTCTGAAAAACTCCAGGTGATTTCAGAACACCTGCAGGAAGTATTTTTCCAAAGCACTGGTACATCAGAAAACATCTTCTGATGAGCTGCACGCTTGTGCCAGGCACCATTTAGTTCCAGCACATTCATGTTTTACCATCCAAAGGGTAAACTGAGTTTTAAGTGAGTGAGGGCTCTCCATGGTGAGGAGCAATAGCATGTTCTTCTGCCTTTAAAGAAATAAAATTTCCAGTCCAGGATGCAATCCTGTTGTTATCTGGGAACGTTTTTAAATGGTTACATCTTTTCCTGATGTTTCTAACTACTTCAGTCAGTTTCTATGAGTTTTTAATTGCACAAGAGACTGAGTTAATAGTGCATTATTTTTAATCAGTTCATTTTATCTAGCTTCAGAATTATGAACCAAATTATCACCATCACCAAGTAATTACTGGTTTATAATAATTTCACAGTGTGGAGTCTCCAGTAATCCAATCTGCGTTGCCTACAAAACAACACTGTGCTGTGTCACCTCAGGGATGTTGGCTGTGTGTGTTGCTGGCTGAGTTTCAGAGCACCAGATGAAGAAACCAAGGCTTATTTCCCTTGAGTTTGGATTTACATGATTAGTTCTCTGTGTGTTACCCTGAGAATGGACATCAAGTACCAAGAGAGAATTGCTTTGAAACAATTCTCTTTTTGCTTCCCTGCCTCTGAAGCACCTTTCCCTGCAGGCAGCATCACATTTCAACCTACTTGGTACTTCTGGTGACCCAGCAGGCACAGATGTCCCTGTGCAGGTACTGTCAGCAATCACAGTCATTTTATATATTGGTACAGGAAAGCTCAGGATGCTGCAAAGTGTTGAGCCATGTCCACCACCAGAGCTGGTAGCCAAAAGCTTCTGATTCCTCATGTAGGATACAGACCAGAGAATCTCAAATTTCACAGGTTCAGTTCTTCATGATGATAACTCCTCCATGTCAATGAGAGGAGTATTTCCATCCATGGAAATTTGTAGTAGCTGTTTAGTCAGCACAGCTGACAGGGAGCAAAGCAGCTATGTCTGCTATGACAGCAGTAGCCACCTTGATTACTTATTTATCCCTTCTACAAGCACCTCTCCAGCTGCTTGTATGCACCCTTCCTCAATGGACCCTTCCTCCTGGAATACAATGAAGATCCTACTGATGAATTGTCTTTCAAACCTGTCTTCCAGAGAAGCAGTGCTGGGGTCTTGGTCTGGTGAGGGTTCCCTGTCCACAGCTTTCCCTTTTAATCTGCACCACTGGAAATGCTGGTTTATGGAACCAGGGGTATTTCAGTGCAGTTCCCAGTGCATCACCCAGCATTTTACTATCAGTCAAATTAGTATAGTCACATTCTTGCCTTGCTAAAAGCAGGTGATAGACAAGCTGAGAGCTTCTATTCATGGTACTGATAGAAGCATTCACACACTTGTTGGGACGAGCAACTCGAGCTAAACTGAAGAGTTTCAATCCTGGTAGTAAAAAAGACAGGCTTCAGTGCAGACTGGTCACTGACATCAGTGTCCAGCATCCAAGGAGGCTCGTGGTGCTCACGTTAAAATCAACCTTAATTAAAACTAGCATGGACAGCTTTTTTGTGCTGCAGTCAGACCTCCCACCTTAGAAGAGACATGTTGGAAGACTCCTGCATTTTAGAGTGCAACACTACTTCTTCAGAATTAAAAGTTAGGAGTGAATAAAAATGACATACAGAATGAGTGATCCTGATGACTCGATTAACAGCAGGAAAAAGAGTAGAAATCTGAAAGATACCCCTGGGTGTCAGCATGAAGCATCAGCTAATGCAAACTGATCCAGGCCTCTCTTGAGAACACATCTATTTTTGCTGTATTGTTTGTAGCTCATATTTGGGAAGTGTGGCAAGAAGAGGTTCATATGATTTCAGCGTTAGGAATGAGTGTGAAAAGGCAAAACTGCTGGCCAGATCTTAGCCAATGTGCTTAGTAATGCTAAATGCAGACATTTAATGCTCAAGACAGATCTCCAGAATGTCTGAATTGTTTTTAACCAATCTGCTTTTCTTTCTCTTTTACTTCTAGTTTCTGAGCTGCAGGTTATGCTCCAAATACATTTTCAAGATTTTTCTGAAATTATGAAAGATAAAACTTTAATTTCAAATATATTAAATTAAAAGATGTATTGCTTGATCATCTGCAAACCAGATATTTATAACAGCACCAGGCACTGTGACTGTTACTGCTGGTGTCCTGAAACTGGTAATTCTCATCTATTGTCAATAAAGACGAACCAGCTTCACCTGAGGAGTAGTTTAGGATCAGATCCTGTTTTTATGGGAATAATTGAGACTGAAAAATCACCATATGTTTAGATATACATGATTCCTTCTGCCTGTCAGTGTTGTTTGAGAATACTGCTTGTCATCCTTGGTGCTTTGTGGACCAAAGAAGATGCAGTAAAGTAGTACCGACCCTCAAGAAAACTTCTGCAGAATAACTGTAACAATTAAACTGTAAACAGTAAGATCTGTATTAACATTAAAACTACTTTTCTGCCATTTCCTTTGGAGACTCAAACACTGTGTTGGTCAGAAGTTCCTGGTCACAGCTGGATAATTGTGGCTATTTCTGGCCATTATTGGATTCATTGTCCTGATGTATTATTTAGAAGACTGTTTATACCAATAGACAGATAAAAGGAAAGTTAGCTTTGCAAAAGCGACATATTGAAGTTTCTTCAGAAGTTTTGAATTTTGACTCTGATCTGCCTTGGTTGAAAATAACAGGGATTATGTCACTGGCACCAATGCCATTTGCACTAACAATTTCAGGCTTGTATGTTTCTCACTACATTAAACATTTCCCATTGACATAATCCTATATTTAAGGAGATAGATTGGAACTTGGTGCCCGAGAGACACTTCATCCTGCTAGGCTGGGGTTATTCAGGTGAGGCCTCACAATAGCCTGACTTCCTTGGAAAGCCTTTACTTTGTTCTGCTGTTAAATGCTGTTAAATGTTTTCTGTTAAATCTTGTGTGTTTATAATGGCATCAGATGCTGCTGCGAATCACTGAGGGAGCAGATGGCAGAGAATTCAAGTACCTATCTCCCTCTGATGCCCCTGGCAATGAAGCATCCAAATATCTTCCTAGATGGGAGCCTAAGAGCTGTGCCAGAATGCAAACAAAGGAATCTTTAATTTTAAACATTGCGGCAGCTTGCTGATTGTGGACAGTCCTCCTTTCAGTCCTTCAGACCCCACAGGTTGTTTGCACTTATTGCTCTGGAGTGTGTTAGTCTCCCAAAGGGACAGAGCAACATTACTAATTTATACTAATCACTCTAAAAATAACGAAAAAGCTGTGGAAAAATATCAGGGAGGAGACAATGGAAAAGCACAGCTATCCTATCTACTCTTCCAACCCTGCAAACATACCACGTCACAGTGAAAATCTCCTTTTTAATGAAACATGGTGACAGAATTTTTTAAGTGCCCTGAAAGATGTCAAAATTTCCCACTCTGTACTGCTGACATGCCACACAGGAGAAGTAAATCTATTCTTGTACTTTCAGGAAAGAAGTAATGAGTTATTGCTGTGATTATAGTTATTATTTAAGTGAGCGTCTGTTCCAGGAGCTGGAGGTTGATGTACAGTTGAATGTCACTGCTAAGGTGGAGTTTATGTATTAGATTAAAATAAATTTTCAAGGTAGGGGGGATGGGTAGTGGAAGGAAGTGCTTTCCAAAAAGGATGAACTGAGTATAGATAAAGTCCATGACAGTGGCCTGGTTGAAAAATATTTTCACAAAGGGTTTCTTCATCAGACTAGAACAATCCAATCTGATAAACTGTTCATAAAGAAAACCAAAAGGGTGCATCTGTGACAAAAAGAGGTGCCTGTGTTTGAACACTGGATTTTTTGGCTTTATGCAAAAGTTACTGGATGAGGTTGAACATGAGACTGACCATGCAAGAGGTTGTGACAGTCTCTTATCTGTAAGACAAGGGAATATATACTAATCTGTCTCTGTTAAAAGTATGCAAATGTGAGGAAGTGATGTTTGCAATCT